CTACTGTCTCCGCGGAGCTGGGCCCCGCCATGCGCTATCTGGGCCTGTGTGTGTGGCACAGTGCCCAGAGCCCAGGAAGGCTGGCCATTGCCTTCCAGAGCCAGCCAATGCCAGGTCCCCCAAGCTCGCCATGACGCCCTCGGGGCTCAGACCAGTGGGCGTGCAGGTCGAGGAAGTTTCTAGCCTGATGCGAAAACCCCGCAGGAGGAGGTGGGCCTTGAGCGATCTCTAAGATGGGGACCGGTCTGATTTGGTGGCATGAAAGCCAGGGACGGTTGTTTCAGAGGGAGGAGGCGAAGAAGCTGGTGCGGGCGTGACATCACCTTCCCCCATCGGGTGTCGCTGCCACCTCCACTTGGAGCAGCCAGTGTCGTACCTGCCTGGGCAAGCCTCGGTCAAGTTCTCAGCCACGGGCAGGAGAGCGGACACGGGCACTGGAGAAACCCCGGCTCCCCGCTGGGCCACCGCCCTGCTGTCCCCAGACCCCGGCTGGAGAAGCTCCCCGTGCAACCCCTGCTGGCTCTGGGACCCCACAGTGCGTTCACCCCATCACTGTCACAGAGAGGTGGCCGCTGTCTACTAAAACAAACTCCCACTATTTCCAACCCTGGGAGAAGGCCTTTTCAACCAAGAAACACAAACTGTCAGAGATCCCTGATCCTTCAGTGGTGCCAACCACAGGCTGGTGTCATGACAAAGCTGTCGCCTGTCGGCCAGGCTGGGGCGCAGCTGGAGCAGCAGCTTGTTGGGATAGGTCCCGTGTCCTGTAGTCAGTCCCCGTGACTGTGCCAAGTGCCTCCAGCCGTGGCCTTGGCCAGGCTGCTGCTGTTTCAGTGGCCCACCTCACCCGGCTTCTGGAGAGACAGGCTGTATCCTCAAGGGCATCGCCGCCTGGACCCCTCCCCAAGTCCGCGCTGGAGCTTCCAGGGCCGAGCCCTGGCACCCCACCTCCTCCCCTGCTCACCCTTGCTTCCCGCCTCCTGCGCCCCGCCCCACCGGCTGTCTGGCCTCACCTCCAGAACAGCCCAGGGTCAGACGGGTCCTCCCACCTCCGCCAGGGCCACCCCGCCCTCGACTTTAGGTGGACTATCCAGGCCACCTACGAGCCAGCCCTCAGCCTCCAGGCCCTTGTCATTCTTACTAGGACTGGCACCTCTCTGCTCAGAGGCCCCCGGGGCGCCTTGCCCTCCTGGTAGAAGCCAGTCGTGGAAATGGCTCGCAAGGCCCTGCGCAGCCTGTGTCACCCCGCCCCCCACACTCTGCCTCAGCCACAGGGCCCCCTCGCTGTCCCCACGCACGCCAGGCTCCGTCCTGCCCAGGGCCTTGGCATGGGCTGTGCCCTCTGCCCGTGGCTCCCTCCTCACGTTTCCTCATTGGTTACTCGAGTCAGTTTCCCTCCCTGGTAACTCTCGATGCAAAAGAGAGGACATGTAACCACTTATTCTTTGGGAGGCTGCGGTGGTGCCAGCTCCCCTCTGCTGTCACCTCTGCTGAGGAGGAAAGTGACTGCGCATCCTTGATGTCATGGTAGTTTGACGCCAATACAGCAAAATCGCCCAAAAGAGAGACGTCTACTTTTCATTTAAATAGCGTGGGGCTGGGGAAAAGGAACCATCTTCCCCAAATCCTTCTTTTAACGCATGAGCCTGTCATGTCGAGCAGTGGGCTGGGTGTTGGCCTCCGTCATCCAGGGTCCCTGGTCCAGTGCCCCTTCCAGCCCGCAACCCCCAGAACCTGCCTCCCCCTGGCAGCCAAGGATAAGTCCTCACGTGGCTTCTGCCCTTGAGACGTTAGGCTCCTGGTCCCAGCTTCTCCTGCCCACGGAGGTGTCCCTCAGAAGCGGTACCCCGGGCTCCCTGGCCTCGGGGGGCAGAGAGAGGAGAAGCCTCCAGCTTCTGCACCCACATGCTGGGGTCCATTCGCTCTTCAGGACCCCATCTTCTCTGGCCAGTGTTTCCTGAGGCCTCTAAGATCCTGGGGGTGCAAATGTGGAGAGAGAGGCCAGGGACAAGGGAGGGCAGAAGGGATAGCTCCGAAGGCTCCAAGCCCTGAGCCAGAGCGGAACTGGGAGGGACAAGGGAGGTGCTGTGCCACCCGCGTCGTGAAAAGCACATTTAAAGGAAGTTTGGAAAGGAAAGGCCTGAACGACTTGACAAGAAGTAAAAAGTACGATGTTCTTTTCCCAAAGGGACAACTGAAGAAAACGGGTCTCTTTTCAGGGGCCTTTCTTATTTCCCACGACCTCGGGCCCACCTCGCGGGGAGCCCTCCGCCCTCGGCAGCTGCCCCCACCCTGCACTGTCCCTTCAGGGCCGCCTTCCTGTCTCCCTGTTGTCACTGACTCTCATCGCCCTATTACTGAGGGCCGTCCGCACCCTGGGGCTACAGGGTGGCTACGCACCCGGCACCCGCCCCTGCATGGAGACTCACAGCCCGGGGAGGAGGACACCGCAGGGCCACACACGGGCGCACTCGGGAGCAGGGTGGACCACAGACTGTGGGAGTCTTGGCCGTGACAGGAGGGTGGGGTGGCCCCTGCTTCAAACCCGGTCCTCAGAGAGGACGGCTCTGTGGCCGAGACCTCGCAGCAGGAGCAGCGCGTGGAGGGGACCGCTCCTGGTCCCCCCAGTGTCGAGGCAGCCCGTAGTTCTGGGCCTTGACTGCAGGCCTGACACACCTCACCCCTGCACGGCAAACCGCTCTCCGCGCAGCCCCCCAAGACGCTGTCCTCGGCTCCCCGGTGCCAGGGTTCCCCATCTGGTCCCAGCCTCTGCCCGGCTTACCTCCTCCTCCCAAAAGCAGAACCCACCACCCAGCCCTCCCCGATGCCCCATCCTGCCTTTCTGTTAAAGGGCCTCTGCCCCGCAGTCCAGCGTGCCCGCCCCCTGCCTCTGAGACCCCCCTCATCCGCACCCGGGGCCGCCACTCGGCCCAAGGGGTGGAATGAAGGATCCTAAGAGGGGTTCATTTTAAAAAGGCCCAGGACATGTGGGGCTTAGACGAAATAAAACGGGCCCGGCTGATGGCTGTCGAGGCGGGAGGTCCTCGCTGCCTCTCTGCTCGTTAGACCTTTCCATAATAAAACCATTTTTTAAAAGGGAGACACAGGCCAACGTCCAGCTTACATGCTAAGTCTGCATGGGGCTAAGATGTGGCCAGGAGTGCAGTGGGGTACAGGCCATGTTGGGGGGTGCTGATGTCCCAGAGGAGACACTTCCTCTGGGTCTGGAAGGGTGCGGAGCCCCGCAGACGGGTTGGGGCCAGCAGGGGCTCTGGACAGGAATGGTGGCTTGGACGGACCACCGCCCCCCTCGATCCTGGATCCTGCCTCCAGATTCTGCCCCAGGCCGGCCCCTGTCCACAGAGCCCCTGCCTGTCCCCAAAGCCCGAGTGTGAGTAAGGCCATCTGTGCTCACACGGCGGGGCGGAAGACAACCCGACGCAGCCTTTGGGGCACCGTGCTCAGGGCTCCCAGGAGACGGGCCACCATCTGGTCCGCGTTGCTGCCCGTGGTGGGGCTCAGCTCTCTGTGGGGACCGCCTCGGCCCTTCCGACCTCTGGGGGGCAGCGACGTCGGCTTTCGATTCTTTTCCCTGCCTTGGCCTGAGCACAAAGCCCTGCGCGCCAGCCTCTTGAGAGTTTTGCTCAGTTTCCACCTGTGCTCTGCTCCGTCGGGGCTGCAGGAGGTGGCGGTTCGTCTCCGTCTTCGACCGCAGTGCTCACAGGCTGCGAGTTTTCTCGAATCTTCCTCCTCCTCTTGCCATCAGAACTGATCTCCATTCCGTAGGTTTAGGTGACATTTGGTGTCTCCACGGCGTGCAGGGCGTGTGGGTGTTTAGATGATTATGAAGACAGATTCTACGAGGTCTCTATCCTGCAGGTGTTTGTCAGTTAAGTCAAGGAGCCTGAAGACCAGGCTGGAAATTGAAGGAATAAAGAAGCAGGTGAAAAGAAGCGATTAACATGCCCTAACCCTAACATGCCCAGAATCTCTTGAACCCAAATCAGTGGCAGTAGCCTTGAATTTCCTCATCACTTAGCGGAGGAAAGCACGCGACCCTCTTAATGAGTCCACGTTGGCATTTTGGCGTTTGGGGGGGGTTTTGACAAACGGAAACGTGTCTTTCTTTCTCCAGCTCCAGTGGCTGTTAGATAATTACGAGACCGCTGAAGGCGTCAGTCTCCCCCGAAGTTCTCTTTACAACCACTACCTTCGGCACTGCCAGGAGCACAAGCTGGACCCTGTGAATGCCGCCTCCTTCGGGAAGCTGATCCGCTCGGTGTTTATGGGCCTGCGGACGCGGCGGCTGGGCACCAGGTGGGTGGGGGGCGTGTCCAACAGCCCCCTCCACCCACCCGTCCTCCCTCCTCACTTACGCAGAAATCAAGCTCTTGGAGGACGCGCGTGCCCACACGTCCTGACTGGCACGCCTCTGGGTGAACTTGGAGTTGCCCCGAGCTGGCCAAGGCGGGCTGCCGGTTGTGGTCCGGTTCTCAGCTGCTGACCGCACATGCGGGTCCTCTTCAGCTCTCTCTCCTTGTTCGAAATTGTCCATAATAACGGGTTTTTTTAATAGCTGCCTCTAGGTTATGTGGGAGAGTTGGATTTACCATTTCGTGATGCTTTTTGCTATGCCTGGACCAGCCTGCCATGGCCTGCCCTTGGCCTACAGCAGCCGGGGAATGTCATGTGCCATAAATGTACCCCAGGCAATAACGCGAACACCCCTCTCGGCAGAAAAAAATGGCCGCACTGTCTTCAGAGCACGTGGCCAGCACGCACGTGGCTGTGACCTGCGGCGGACCGGGCTCGGTGCCTGTGCTCGAGGAAGTCACACGGAAGTGGGGGTCAGGGGACATTCAGGCACTCTCAGCCACTGGCGATCCCGTCCCCCACCGCCTTCGATCTTTGACAGACACCATCACACAGAACCTAGACACAGAACTGGGTTTCTCACTGCAGGACTTCTCAGAGCCTTTATCGCACCAAAATGCAAGAGGGGGACCTCTGAGAGGGCAAGTCCCGTACAGAATTTCCTAAACCTCTCTGGCCACGGAACAGCCTGTGGGCATTTCCCCCACAGTCCAAGGGACACTGAACCCCAGGGCCCAAGGTGCAGGCCAGGACAGCGCCTCCTGTCCGTCGGGACGTCCACAGAGAGCCAACCCCAGACGTTTGCTTTCCAGGGGCAACTCCAAGTATCACTACTACGGGATCCGTCTGAAGCCAGACTCACCCCTGAACCGGCTACAGGAGGACACCCAGTACATGGCCATGCGGCAGCAGCCCGTGCATCAGAAGCCGAGGTGGGTGACCAGGGCCAGGGCCGGCCTGAGGAGGGCCACGGGGCCTGGGTTCCACTAGGGGGAACGCAGGACGGTGCTTGTCAAACATTAAATGCATCCATACGAGGGGACTCCCATCCCATGGCGGGAAAACGAGCCCCTAACCGCCTCGGTCCTGGGGGGCAAGGCATTCACCTCCAGGGGCGTGAAGGGAGGCCAGCAGGACTCAGGGCTGAGGCTGCAATCTCACCCCGCTGGCAGGGCTTCCAGAGCCTTCTCTTTTTAAAGCGTTATTTAGAGCAGTTTTAGGTCACGACCAAATGGAGTAACAAGTACGGAGATTTACCGTATCCCTCTGCCCACGCACGTGCACAGCCTGCCCCGCCATGGACCCCCCCACCCAGAGCGGTGCATTTGTTTCCACTGGACATGTCGTTATCACCCCGAGTCCATGGCTTACACAGGGTTCGTCCTGGTGTCCTGCATTCTGTAGGTTTGGACAAATGCGTAATGACGTGTGTCTGTCACATGGATCATACAGAGTACTTTCACCACCCTAAAAATCTTCTTTGCCCCCCATGATTCATCCCTCCTTTCCCCGTACCCCTGGGAACCCCGATCTTTTTATCATCCCCATAGTTTTGCCTTTTCCAGAATGTCATAGAGTTAGTATCACAGACCTTTTAATTTGTCAACTACTAGGAAAAAAAAGAAACAGAACTCTGAAAATAACCCAAGAAGCCAGGAGAAAGAAGCCTATAGATTTAAGTTGTTGCTTTTTCCTGACATTTTGCTCTGATGGCAAAAAGGCCTGGTTATTTTCTGGAATGTTCTCTACCATCACAAACCTACTCAATCTTTTAAGACAGGGCTCTGGAAACTTCTCTATAAAGGGCCAGAGAGCAAATATCTGGGGGTTTGCAGGCCAGAGGTTCTTCGGTTGTACCATTAGGGCCACCACAGATGATTCATAAATGAATGGGTGTGGCCATGTGCCAATAAAACTTTATTTACAAAACAAGCAGCAGAACTGGCCCTCGACAGCCAAAGTTTACCCTGGTTCAAGTGCCCACTAGAATGTCACCTCCCTGGCAGTCTCCCAGTGTCCCAGACCCCCTCTCCAGAGTCCAGGCTGCTCCGGGGTGGGGACCATGTCTCCTTCACCCCTGCATGGCACCTTCATGCCTCGGCCAGTCTACATGGCTCAGAACCCCATTTCAGCTGCTTTGAAGTGTCCTAGAGACTCCCAATAGCGTAGCCAATCATGGGAGTTGGAGGTCACAGAAGAGAGTCTCTGGAACATTCTCCGGGAGCCAACACATCGGAATGGAACCAGCAGTGCCCTTGACCCTCACCATCTGCAGACATGGACTCCATGGCTTCCCGTTGCCCGGTTTTGGCCCTTGCGAACTCCTGCGGATCTGTGTGTCAGCCAGTGTGCTATTTCAGGAGCCGCTACACGTTTCATGGTGACAGGCCTGTGCCATGTACACTTGGAACCACCCCCGAGTCGGGTGGCACACACACATCTCAGCGGCGTTTCTTCCTCCTCAGAGCCAGCCTGGCCCCACCTTCCACAAAGAAAGGCACCCCAGTTCTGGCCAGGACCCCCGCCCCACCCTTCCCACCACACCTGCCAACTTCCAGCATCCATGTGGGTTCGGAGGGACCAGGCGCCCCAGGAAATCCTTCCCTTAGTCATCCTCGATTTGCTGCCCACACCAGCTATCCATTGCTTTCTGGCTCAGGGCAAAAGGACAGTCTCAGAATTTCCTCCAAGACCAAAGAATAGTAAGATATTTGTGATCTATGTAAAGAAGTTCACTTGTCTTCTAAGAGAGAAGTATTAGAATATTTATACACATATAAGCAACCGAGCATCCAACGGCAGATGAACGGATAAGCAAAGTGTGGTCTGTACACACAATGGGATAGGGTCTGGCCACAGGAGGAAGGACATTCTGACACGTGTGATAACATGCATGAACCTCAAAGCCACTATGCTGAGTGAAAGGAGCCAGGCACAGAAGGACAAACAGTGTGTGATCCCACTCACAGGAAGTCCCCAGAGGAATCAGATCCATAGAGACAGGAAGTAGACAATGGAGCCAGGGGCCGGGGAAGGGGAGGGGAGTGAGTGTGTAATGGGGACAAAGGGTCAGTTTGGGGAGATGGGTAAGTTCTGGAGGTAGATAGTGGGGCCAATGGCACAGCAATGCGCATGTGCTTAATGCCTCTGAGCCGTGTACTTAACAATAGTTAAAATGATAAATTTTTTATGTGTATTTGACAATTATTGAAAAATTACACATACACACACACACGCACACACGCACGCATACACACACTCACTCCAAACTGCATCCTGCTCAGCCCTCTGCTCCTTGGGCCCCTTCTGGGCAGTATTGCTGGGGCCTCATGGTGGTACATGTGTCCCCTGCCTAGGTACCGGCCTGCCCAAAAAACAGACAGCCTTGGGGACAGTGGCTCGCACAGCAGCCTGCACAGCACACCGGAGCAGGCCATGGCCGCCCAGAGCCAGCACCACCAGCAATACATAGGTGAGCGGTGAGCGCCCCCCACTGGGTGCCGTGAAAGCTCGGGTCCACTCGGGGGCGTCTGGTGCCTGTGGGCTTCAGCACCAGCAGCATCCAAAGGGTGCTTTGACAGTCTTCTAGATAAGCCTTCTTTGTGGCCTCCCTGAGATTTTAGAATAATCAGCATATGCCCCCAAAATTAATATATTAAGTGAAAATCAGAAAAATAAGTAAGTAAAATAAAATGCCCATCAGAGAGACGACCAGATGTCCTATTTTAAAACCTGCTGGCTCTGGGGTGGCAGCAGGATTTGGCTGCCCTCTTGGGTTCTCTTCCTTGGTTACCTGGAACATTTGGAGTGCTCGGGACCCCTAAAACTGGGTCTCTCACGGGGATAAGTGTCATAAGCATGCACACACTGAGACATGAGTGGCCTTGGTGTACATTCAGTGTATTTTCTGAGCCTGAACGGAGCTCTCCTGTGTTGGGTCTTCTGGAGAGATGGTCAGGCCCAGGAAGTCACCACAGGGCCAGCCTTGACCCCAGACGCGCTGCCCTCACGCTGGGGTGATGAGAGCTCACTATGTCACCGGCCTGGGTGAAGTACTTTGTCTCTCAGCGTATTTCATGTTGCTTGGGGGAGGGGGGGGTGACGATGCTGTCCCCATTCTGCACCTGAGGGAACTGAAGCTTACAGAAGCTGTGTGACTGCTCAGAGGAGCCAGGACGTCGCCCCAGGGCTGTCGAGCAGCCACTGGCACTTCGGGCCAGCGTCCCCCAGCACTCAGGCCCCCCAGCCAAGCTTCTGTGTGTGGACCTTCTGCTGGTTCGCCGACAGCGCTGTTTCTGTCTCCCCCAGATGTCTCCCACGTCTTCCCGGAGTTCCCAGCGCCAGACCTGGGCAGCACCTTGCTGCAGGAGAGCGTCTTGCCCCAGGACGTCAGGGCCCTGCAGCTGGCCTACCGGCGCCACTGTGAGGTGACCACCCCCGGGGCCGCCCGGGGAGAGCCTGTGCCGGGCCGTGGGGCCTCAGTGGGCCACAGTGCCCCCCAGGGCCCGGCACAGAGCCACGCATGCCCCCCAGGCCCGTCACCAGAACCACCAAACGCTCAGACATCCCCAGGGGTCCCCGACGATAGGAAGGAGACAGGAGTGGCCCCTGCTCCCTCTAGCCAAGCAGTAGATAGGACCCCGGCTTCCTGGAGGGCGCCCCTCTGTCCATCTCCATCCCCTCTGTGGTCTCTGGATTTTAGAAGACACCCCACCTGCAGCCCGTGTCACACCGCTTGCTCGGCACGTCCTGACAACGAGTGATCCGTGGACTTAGTCACACGCACATTCGTGGCTTAACCCACCGTTCTCACTCCCAGGCAACTTTAGATGTCGTGATGAACCTCCAGTTCCACTACATCGAGAAGCTGTGGCTTTCCTTCTGGAATTCTAAAGCCTCCTCCAGCGACGGCCCCACCTCTCTGCCAGCCAGGTGCCTGCCGTGTCCCCCCCAGACAGGCCCGATGACACCCACGCTGTGACCCGCAGACAAATGCGTCAGCTTTCTGAGATTTGGTGCTCCCCCCACCCCCAAAATGTATGCTGTTTGGGTACTTCTAACAGCTGATTTGTAATTCCCATTGCCCGTTTCCTTGTTTCGAGTGGTTTAGAGGTGACCGCGTGCTATCCCTTGTAATTCCCATTGCCCGTTTCCTTGTTTCGAGTGAGTGATTTAGAGGTGACCGCGTGCTATCCTAGAGAAGTCACCTCAGCTGTAGCCACGAGGGACAGTGTGACCCGCGTGGGGAATCTGAGGCAGGGCGGGCATGGGCACTGACTACTGCACAGGTTGCGGCTCACCCTGTGCCCCCGTACCCCCACAGTGATGAGGACCCTGAAGCCGCCGTCCTCCCAAAGGACAAGCTGGTGTCTCTGTGCAAATGCGACCCCGTTCTCAAGTGGATGAGGAGCTGCGACCATATCCTCTACCAGGCCCTGGTGGAGATCCTCATCCCTGACGTGCTGCGGCCAGTGCCCAGTAAGCAGCCCCCTCACCGCCTCCTCTCCTCCCTGTCCCTGTGCCCGCGGCCACCCCGTCAGGTCCAGGGCAGACGTGGGGCGCCCAGAATCCAGGGAGAGCAGTGGCTCAGGTGCCCCGGAAGACGCTCACCCTTGCCTGCATGCTTTCCTTGTCACTGGCCCAGGGAGAGAAGGAGGGAGGGCCCAAGCGGTGGCTCTAGTGAGGACTGCCCAGCCTCCGGCCACTGCCTGCCCCAACCTCCCAACTCCGGGCCTGGTGGGGCTCAGGGCTTCAGGCTGCTGCCCAGCGCTGTGAGGTTCCAGGTGACGTCCCGTCTCCGGCGTGCCCAGAGGAGATTCTAGAGGATGGGGCCAAGGTCCCAGCACAGCCCTCTCCCTCCAGGCTGTGGTGGTGGCTGGAAGCCCTGGCACGTCTGAGTCGGGTTTTAAACCGTCTCCCTGGGTCGACCTGGTGCTGAGCCCAGCTCCCTCTCAACTCCTCGGCACTTCACACCACGGGCGGGTTCCACAGGCTTCCTTGCTGTCCACACGCGCTGCCAATGTGCTGGGGACCGTCCCAGGGCCTCCCGTGACGGTGACAACACCCACCACCAGGGGGCGCCCGTCAAGCGGGCCCCTCCCTTCCAGGCTCTCCCGCCCGCTCCCAGCATCCTGCCACCCTGTCAGACCCGAGGAAGGGCGAGGAAGCTGGGCACCCAGGCCTCGCCCTTAGTTACGGCAGAGGGCACCAGGTCGCGCCTGGCAGGTGGCCCACAGACACCTGTGTCCCCGCTCGGATATCCCACTCCCTCAGTGAGCTGTGCTGCTGCCTCTGTGCCAGCAGATGGGAGCATTAACGACTGCGTTGCCCTGGCCCAGCCCGGCCCACAGCTGTTCAGCGTAGCAACTGAACGTCCACATAAAGGTCTGAGTTTGGGGCAGGTTTACTTTTACTTTTGAGAGGTTTTCTTTAAGTCTTATTATTTGTTTCTTATTGTAAGCCATCTCAAAATACATTTGAAAGTTAGTAGACTATATTTACCTGCATGGGTGTCAGGATTTCCCAGGCTCAGCACTGGGCCTGGGTCACTCTCTGTGGGGCGTCCTGGGTGCTGTGGGGGCTGAGCCCCCGCCCACTCGATGCCAGGAGCACCGCTGTCGTGACAACCACAGAAGGCCCAGACCGGCCAGTGTCCCCTGGGGGCAGGCTCGCCCTAGGGGAGAACCAGATGAAAAGAGATGAGCGGTCTGGATGGGCCCTAACTTACCCAGGCCTCCCTCGCCGAGTGCCCTAGGCTCTCACCCGCCGCTGCTGCCTGCCCGGGTAACGCGGTATCTCACATTGCGTTTGCGCCTCTCACACTGGGCGCTGACCCTGGCACACGGGCACAGCCTTTCCCACTGCTGACCCCGGCCCGCTCTCCCAGGCTCCCTGACGCAGGCCATCCGGAACTTCGCCAAGAGCCTGGAAGGCTGGCTGACCAACGCCATGAGCGACTTCCCACAACAGGTCGTCCAGACCAAGGTAACTGCGGGGTCGTGTGCCGGGAGGGGAGGGGGCTGTTCCAGGCTCGGAGGAGAAGGCCGCTGGGCCTGAGAGAGCTGGCTGCTCCTATGTGTCCCGAGGAAGGTGGTCCCCTCAGGAAGCCCTGAGGATGCGGTTGACGTGGGACGGGTGCTGGCAGGCAGAGGCATGACAGAGGATGCCATCTGATGTGACACATCTGGGTCAGCTCACAACAGACCTGTGCTCATCAGGGCAGGGGATTTAATCTGGCTTCACTCGTGCCACTGTAGTCTTGGCCACAAATCAGGGCTTAACATGGCGATCTGGCCCATGGGCGAGAGAGAGGACGCCCTTTAGAACCGTCCTCGTGAGCGTTTCTCAAGAAGCCGCAGCCGCTCACCGCGGAGGCCAGGTTCTGGGCAGCTGGTGTACCCGCCTCCAGTCTGGGATTGCTCGGTTACGCCGCCGACATTGCCCGCTGCGGTTGTCAACAATCACGATTCCCAGGCCACGCCCACGACTTCCCATCCCGCGGTGCCCAGGAGCCCCTAAGCTCACCGACCCTTTGGAAAGCCGAAGGGATTGCGTTCTAACCGCCCATACCACGGCGTCTGCTGTAGGTGCCACGTGATGCGTTGGTGGCACCTGTGTCCTTCGCTGACTCGCACTCTTCCGGGCCCTGAGACTGTCAGAAGGGTGGGACCCTCTTCCTCGCCCCCTCCAAGGAGCGGCAAGAACCGCGTGTCCGGGAGCCGGGTGTCCAGGAGCGGGCGGCTCACCCTCCCGCGTGGGCCTTGGTCGCAGGTGGGCGTGGTCAGCGCCTTCGCCCAGACCCTGCGGAGGTACACGTCCCTCAACCACCTGGCGCAGGCGGCCCGCGCAGTCCTGCAGAACACCTCCCAGATCAACCAGATGCTCAGCGACCTCAACCGCGTGGACTTCGCCAACGTGCAGGTGACTTCCCAGCACGGTGGCTCCCCCCACCCCGCCCCCGCTCAGGGCCGGGCCGCAGAGCAAGGGCGACGTGCGCGTGCCCCCCAGCCTAACGCACACCCCCAAAATGCAGCACGTAGCAAACCCAGCACGCACATTTCTGTTGCGTGAACCAGATTCAGGAGCAGCCCCCGCAGGGACCCCGGGCGTCACTCCCTGATCTCTCAGGTCACCCTGGCACCCAGGAACTGGCACTGTCGCTTTGGTTCATCTTCTCCAAACATGTGCCTTCCCGTTGCCACGGCCACGGTCCTTTCTCTGGGCTTAGAGGGGTGCGAGCGTCAGCAGATGGAGGCTGCTGCCCGGAGTTTATCCGCTAAACAAACACATTCCAAGCGTGACCACTCAAAAGTAAGCCACCAGCAGGACACGGCGGAATCTGAGCTGTAGATCCAGGAAACCTGGGTTTCAGTCCTTAGCATCTGGGGCGGCTTCCGTCTCTGCCCCGTGAAGTGGGCACAGACGCCACTTGGCTGCAGCTGGAAAAGGCCAGGGCGCGGAGGCGTGAGGTCTGGTGAGGTCTGGCCGGCAGCTGGTGCTCAGGGGTGGCCGCAGTCCGGGCCCTGTGCGCCCGCCCACGGGGTTGGTGTGAGGGGCGGTCCCGACGCTCTGCCTGAGCCCGCCCGCGCCCCCTCAGGAGCAGGCCTCGTGGGTGTGCCAGTGCGAGGAGAGCGTGGTGCAGCGGCTGGAGCAGGACTTCAAGCTGACCCTGCAGCAGCAGAGCTCCCTGGACCAGTGGGCCCGCTGGCTGGACGACGTGGTCACGCAGGCCCTGAAGCAGCACGCGGGGAGCCCCAGCTTCCCCAAGGCCGCCCGGCAGTTACTGCTGGTGGTCCTTCTACAGGTGGGTGTCCTTGATCACGGGCCGGGGGCGGGGCTGGGGGCTCCGGGATCGTCCCGCTTTCAGTGTCCCCACCTGCGGGCCTCGTCCTGGTGGCAGGCCCCCGGGGCCAGGCCCGAGGCCCTGTGGCCCAGAAGTAGGTGGCAGGGTTCCACAGCCAGACATCGCCGTCAGGCCTCCTGGAGAGACACAGTGGCTTGTGCTCCCTAGCAACACCCCACAGAGCGTCAGTAGAAGAAGTGGTTCCAAGGCATGACCCCCAGGACGAGAGCAGGAGAGCGGATGAGGGCAGATGGCGGATGAGAGCGAGGGTTGGGGAGACGGTGTGAGGTGGCCCGTTAGGGCAGTGAGCCAAACGGGAAGCAACCATCAGGCCGTTAGTCACTCACTGCCAAGTGTAAGCGGGAGGCAGAAATGGGCGTCAGTCCCCCTGTGATCCATGTGTCCCCATGAAATGGTACCGGGCAAGGGTCAGGCGTGTCGGGGGTATATATTTTTTAAGTGTATTTGTAAATATATTATAGTCAATCATGATTATATACAAATATAGAACTAATTTTATGTGAATAAATATGAAGAGATTATCTCAAGGAAGTGGCTCACGCAGTCTCAGAGGCTGGAAAGTCTGAGTTCCATGGGGCGGGCCGGCGGCGTGGAGGCCCTCGGGCGGGTGCTAACACAGCAGCCACAGTGGGACTTCCCCAGGGAAGGCTCGGGTTTGCTCTGAAGCCCTTTCAGCTGATTAGATGAGGCCCACCCATGATCCAGATGGTCATCGTCACTTAATGTCAACGGATGGTAGATGTTCTAAGGCTGTCAGGCCGTGTGTGACCCAGCCCATCAGCCACCCCCACAAACACCCTCATGCGACACTTGACCGGCGGTTGAGTGAATAACTGCGTTTGAGTGAATAACTGAGTACTATAGTCGAGCCGAGCCAACACACAGAACTAACCATCACAGAAAGTAAGCATGAGAGAGAAAAATACGGAGAAAGAAAGAAAAATGTGAAAAAGAGAACTCATGGAAGAAAAATGAAAAGATCCAGAAGGGTCAATATCCAGCTGATAGGAATTTTTTTAAGAGAGAAAATGGAGGGAAAGAAAACAATAAAAACAATCAAGAAGCTATCTCAGAACTGGGGGGTGCCGAGTCGAAGAAGCCGCCAGGTTCCCAGCACTGCGAGTGAGCCCCTCCCCCAAAGAGCCTCCCTGTGACATTTCAGAGCAGCAAGGTCAGGAGACAGGCAGAAAGGCTTCCGAGAGAAAGCGACAGGCCAGTTGAAGGCCTGGGAACCAGGACAGTATCTCCCGACTGACCTTGAATGCAGAATCCAGATGGCAGGTGAGCGACGTCTTCAGGATTCTCAAGGAAAACCATGTCCGAGCTGCAATTCTAGCCGTGTAGACGGGAGCCGAGAACCAGACTCCAGGAGGCACACGGCCCAGAAAATAGGGACCATGCTCGCTGAGAGCAGCCCTGACAAATCTGTGGAAAGCTGAGCACTTTTTAAGGAGGCAGTTAGTCCAGGAAAGTGCTGGCTGTTCTAAGGCTGTCAGGCCGTGTGTGACCCAGCCCATCAGCCAGCCGTGGCCAGCGGATCAGATCACCCTCCTCCTGCTCGTGCGAATAACATTTTACCACCACTCGGCCATACTCATTCGTTCAGGACCCTTGGCGGAGTTGAGAAGTGTGACCATGTGGCCACGAAGCTGAAAATATTTACTGTCTGGGTCTCAGCCAGCCGCCAGAGACTCCATCCTTGCCTCTACCCTGGCCTCACCGCCTCGGGGCCTTTGCGCTGCCCTCCCCCGCCACCTGCGACAGCCTTCCCCAGCGAGCCCTCTGGCCCATCGCCATCAGAGGAGTGCCCCCATAACTCCCTAAGTAACAGCACGCCCCTCTCCACCCTCTGTCCCCCACGCCCTGCTTTATCTCACAGCCCTTGTCACCTCGCTCTCTGCCCATCTGCTGTGTGTCTCCTCAGTGACCAAGCACACTCCCCGAGAGCCGGGACGTTGCTTTTGTCCACTGCTGTGTCCCCAGCATCTAACTGTTGGTTGAGCGAATGAACCAGGAAGGAAGGATGAGCCCCACGTACCACGTGGCTCAGCCACGAACGTCACACCCCATCACCACAAAACAGAACACCGGTTTAGCCCAAAGATGACGAAGCAACGTCGAGGTGATGGACGAGGAGAGGGGTGCGCCTCTGCGTCCGCGGGCACAGAGACGCCGTCTGGAGGCCCAATCTGTCCCCAGGTGGGAAGCCACAGGGAGAGTCAGGACCTGCGGAACGAAGAGCAGCAGGATGCACCGCACCATAGAAACGTGGGAATGAGGACGAGAACGCAGCCGGGAGTTGAAGGGGGTCACCGCCTCCATGGGGTGCGCAGCTCTTCTCCATAAGGCCCGAAACACCGTCTGACTTTGTTTCATTAGGTTTAAGGGACTCATTTCTGTGGAACCCACCAGAAAACTGAACAAGCGGGCAGGGCCTTGGCGTGGGACCGCCAAGCTCGGGCCAAGCTTCTCCGGGTGCAGGCCTGCGGATGCTCCTCCTGGGGAAGCCGCATGCCACGTGGAGAACCCGGAACATTCTGAGACCGTGGAGGCGGCGCAGAAGAGCGAGCGAGCCCGCGCCAGCCCAGACACCGGGCCCGGGGTGGCGAGTGCAGAGTCCCGCACCCGATCCGCGGGGTCAGGGTATGGGGGCCTTCAGCGAAAGGGGGCCGGAACTGAGCTGGGCAGGCCGCAGAGGGACCATGCGACCCGAACAGAGTGCCGACAAACAGCGTTTAAATTGCCTGGATGTCAGCAGTGTCCAGCGTGTGTGACCCCGCGACTGGCAGACAGCGTCCAGGAGAAGGGAGCTGATGCAGTGTCAAAGCGAGCAGAGCTTCCCAGGGCCCGCAGGCCACATTCGCCACTCTGCCTTTAGGGGGGTGGCCATACAGAACCGAAGAAGCTGCTAAAGAGAAAACGTCACGAACCGTGGGCCCTTTTGCTCTGTCCCTTACGCACGGCCTTTGGGTTCATGAACGTTCTCCAAGTGACCTCTGCTTTCGAAAAGGACACTTTGGACATGCACAGTCACCGCCCGGGTTCCCTCCTTGGTTGTCAGCTGTCTTTACTGACGCACCTGCAGCCCCACTGTTACTACGAAAGTTCTAGACATTAAAATTTCCAAACGTTTATTTGAGCAAACATCAGTTCACATCGGGCAGTGCCAAACCCAATGTGATTGAGAGCCTCCAGGGACAGAAGCGAGGGAGAGCAGAGACATGATTTAATTGGCTAAACAAAGCAGAGAATAGTTCAAGTGATAGTTTTCTTGGCACATGGCACACAACATGTAAATGAACGGGCATGGCTGTGTGCCAATAAAACTTTATTTATAGACCTTTGAAGGTGAATTTCAGGTTCTTTTCATGGGTCGCCAAATATAATTCTTTTAACGTTTTTTCCAACCATTTAAAATGTAAACCATCCGTACCTTGCAGGTTCCACAAAAACAGGTGGCAGACTGGGTGTAGGCTGCTTTGAGCTGTAGTTTGCCATTTCCCACTTTGATGAAAGAGGTTAAAGCACCCTGAAATTCGGCCTTGTTTTTAGGTGCCTACACTGACTGGGGAGGGTTGGGAGTGGGGGCACCCGAAGGCTGGGAAGGCAGCGAGGAGGGGGGGGGTCAGTAACGGCCGGGATGACCCCCTTACCACAGGTGGTCTCCAGGGCCGGTGTTTGTTTGCAGCGGCCTCTTCTGAGAGCCAGTGCTGCGGTCCACCCCCCATCCGCCTGTCCCCACTTCAGTCACCGGGACACGGGGGTGGTCTTGGCAGCTGGCAGGCCCCTCGTGGGCCTAAGGGGTCCCCGCACAGCCTCAGAGCCGAAGAAGAGCCTAAGAGCCTGGCTCCCCTGCCCGCGGGGAGCCCGTGCCCTCCGGAAGGGGCCCAGCCTGTCTGCCCGTCCCCCAGCTCCATGGTGATCCGTGACCTGACCCTGCGCAGCGCGGCCAGCTTCGGCTCCTTCCACCTCATCCGCCTGCTGTACGACGAGTACATGTTCTACCTGGTGGAGCACCGCGTCGCCGAGGCCACCGGAGAGACGCCCATCGCCGTCATGGGGGAGGTGAGGCGCCCCGCCCCAGGGACTGCGGCGGGGCCGCAGGGCAGCATGCTGGGGCACAGGCGAAAGCGAGGCGCGCGGAGCATAGCGGGCCTGCGGGCCCGGACAGAGGGACAGAGCTCTCTGCTGGAGCCCGCAGGCCGGGGTGCGCGTCCTCGCCCCTCTGCCACCTACTCACCGTGACCCCGGGCAGGGCTTCCCGCCTCTGAAATGCCCCAGGGGGATTTTAACTGTGGTAAAATAGATATTACAGGATTTGCCATTTTAACCATTTTCAGGTGAACAATTCGGTGGCATTTGGTACATTCGCAGTATTGTGCAGCTGCCACCTCTAATTCTAGAACATTCCACCACCCCCAAAGAGAAACCTGGTCCCCAGTAGTCACTCCCCTTCCCCCTTCCCCAGCCCGACACCCACTCACCCACTCTCTGTCTCGGTGGACGCGCCCGTTCTGGACATGTCCCATGCATGGAATCACACACGTGTGGCCCCTGCGTCTGGCGCCTCTCGCTGAGCGGCGTGTGTTCAGGGTCCGTCGGCGCGGTGGCCGGTATGGGTGGCCGAGTGCGCTCTGCTGCATGGACAGCCAGCATTTTGCTCCCCCATCGCCCACCGCTGAGCATTCGGGCCGTTTCCGCCTGTGGCTGCGCTGGATGTGGGTGCACGGGTTTTTGCTGGAGTGTCTGTCTCCAGTTCCTCTGGGGCACGTGGCGTTGTTTTGAGAAGGAAATGAGCTGATGCCTCTACGGCTTTTGGTACATAACAAGCCCTTGATAAATGCCAGCTATTCCTTCACCGTCACTGATCGGAGGCCGCAGCCCCTGTCCCCTTGCTGGTGTGAGCAGTCACACCCCCTCGACCCTCCAGCAGCTCCCAGATACGGCCCGGAAAGTGTCAGAGGGGACACCCAGCAGAGGAGCCACTTCTCATGACAGAACCCCTCACTTTCAAAGCAAAAGCCCCTTTAACTCCGGGCAGAGGACGTTGCTTATGGTCACCGGGACCCGCGCTGCGGAGGCCCTGACCCTGGGCTTCTTTCTTTCAGTTCAACGACCTTGCCTCCCTGTCGCTGACGCTGCTGGACAAAGGTGCGTGTGGCGGCGGCTTACCCACGAGCCTCTCCCTTGGCCTGGTGGCAACTGTGGCAGCTCCCCGGGCGGGCTGAGAGAAGGGGTGCCACCTGGGCAGCAGCGGGTGTCCCAGGGATGCCGCCGCAGGACTAGCCCCAGCTGGAGCTCAGAGGAGCTGTCCTGCCCCCTCCTGCTCACGCGTGGCCCCTCGGGGCAATATTTGATCTCGATCCCCGGGCACCCCCACACCAGGCCCCCACAGCCAGGAAGGGGTGAGAAGGGGGTCTGGAGGAGGAGCTGGGCAGGCGGGGCAGAGAGCCTCCACCCCCAGCCTGTGCCTTGCCCCACAAGGGTAGAGGGGACAAGGCACCAAGGCAGAAGCTGCCAGGCACGTGACCCAGGCACACGGGCACTGGTCAAGGGAGGTCACGGGTAGAAAGGCCAGGGACGACCAGGCCGGGGCCTGTATACGCCCAGGCACCTCTCTGAGGGGCATGTCTCTTCCCTCCCTCCCGTGGCCCCACCCGCCTCTTGTCCCCAACGCTGACCCCACAGATGACATCGGTGAAGACCGGGGCGGCGAGGCCGACGGGGAAGCCAGCGGCCTGGGCGAGCCCCTGGTGAAGCGTGAGCGCAGCGACCCGAACCCCTCCCTGCAGGGCGTCTAGCGCGGCGGCCCTCCCCGGGCCCGCCGGCCTCCTCCGCCCACCACGACCGTGCCTCTTACCGAAGTGACCTTGACTCCGACTCACGGGGTCCAGGGTCGGCGTGCCCCAAGGGACATGCCATTCCTCCAGAAGAACAGCTGTCCACCAGGGCCACAGGCCACGCCTGCTTCTGCGTGCCCAAGGGCTCCCCTGCGCCGCCCGGGTGTCTTCCTCCTGACCGTCCCTGTCCTCCCGCCTGCTGGACTGTGACCTTCCGTCGGAATCCATGCATCCTGTCCAGAGCTGCCAGCACCGTGCTGAGTGGGCTGGCACAGCGTTGGGCTTCTCCGCCATTCAGCCCGGTCCGGTTTTCACCATGATTTTTAACACTGGCAGATCCGGGGAAGAAGGTGTGTCCGGCAGCTGTTGGGCGGTCCCAAGCTGGCCGTGTCCACGGAGCCCCCGCCCGGGTGCCCCTGTGGTGGGGAAGGCCCGGCTCTGCTCTGCACCCCATGGCCTCTTCTGTCCTGCCCTGTGCTCTAGACACCAAAGGTTCTCAGAGTGTGTCTCTTGACGGGGGACAGCCCACCACCCCACATGGCAAAAAGAAAGTCATGGAAACAGGCCCGCTCATGTCTTTAGAGTCAATGCCAGAAATGTCATCAGCAACGGGAAAGACTGCGGTTCTGTCCGAGGTCACAGCCAACGTGAAGCCACAGCGGTAGATCTGGAACCGTCTGTTCCAAGGGGGCGGGGTGGTCAGCATGTCAGCGGCACCTGCAGGGGCAGCCACCCCGCTAGGTCTGCACAAACAGCCGTGCCTGCAGCCCGCTCCATGGAATCTTCCAGAAAGCCTGCCTTGGAACCGGCAATGCTGGAGCCCTTGGATTGGCAGTTCCCATCTTGACTGCTCAAAGTTGAGACTCTTCTCTGGGGACAAACAGATCCCAAGGACTGGCACAGCCCTGAACTGGAAACTGCAGATCTGTGTCCATCAAAACACGTCGCCCTTGGTCAGCTCCGTGCGAGACTCTGTCCCAAAAGCAACTGCAAAGAAGGAAGACGAACCTCTGGCCTGGGGAGCGCCATCTTATGAAATGCAATAGTTTCTCTTTTTGGAAATGTGTTTATACCGATAGTTTTGTGCTCCAATTGTTATTAGAACGTTTCGTATGAATGTGTATATCGCAGTATATTTGGTTCCCGATATTTTTTCTCATTCACGCAGAAGGTACTTAAGTTAAACTCACACGGCCTTTAAAACCCTTCCTTCCCGTCAAGAGGAGTGCTCTGCACGCCCCGGCCCTCGCCAGAGGTGCAGGGAGGTGTGGGGGAGGACAAGAAAGACACTCTGATTCTAGAAACCAAAAGTCTGTGATGGCCACAGTGTTTGTCTGGTCTCAGAGTTTCAAGACTTAGGTGAAATCAGACCGAAAGAATGTCTTCACGCGTCTCCTGCTGGGAGGCATCGGAGTTCACGGTCCGTGGACTGTGACGGCCCGCCATCGCTTCCACCCGCGTGCCGGTCGGGTCTGCCTTACGCTCTGTCTGGTCCTTTGCAGGATTCCACAAGGAAGACTACAAATGACAGTAAATGCACGAGCCTTCCAAGCCTGTTCTCGTTTTTTGTTGCAATAAACACATTGAACGTGCCCGTTTGGGGGTCACAGTCCACACTCCAGCCACGCACACTCCCCCACAAGGTGGCCCTGGAGGGTGCGGCCCTCCCTCCCGGCGGGGCCCCTGGCACTGTCCTCCCAGCTCTCTGGGGAGCCTTTGAGAAGGACCAGGTCCCTCAGGCTTCGTTTAGCAAGGCCAACCCCAGGACACAGATGGCCAGAAACAATTCTCAGATGGTCGAGGCCCTTTGTAAACAGCCTAGGCTCATTCAGATATGACAGAAGAAAGCCATGCTCCAGCCGCTGATGCGACCCACCAAGTGTTAGGGGTTTACCCTGTAGAGTCTGCGGGGGGGAGGGTGGAGGCCAGACTCCAGAGTCCCCTAAGAACCAGGGCTTGAGCTTGTGCCCAAATTGTAGATCCCTGGGCCCTACCTGCGAGAGCCTGCCTTGTGGGACTGGGGCGGGGTGGGGCATCCATATTGTTGTGACCACCCGCTCCATAGGGCTTCGAAGAACGACAAGGTTTCCAGTCAGCCGCTCCTAAAAGCTGCTTCTCACTGCCAGGCCAGTGCCCCGCATGCCCCCAGCACAAACTAATCTGTCCCAGGAAGAGGCCCTGGGGCCCCCCAGGTGACACTAAAATCGGTGTCACTTCCCTGGGCTGAGAACTCCAGGGCCTAGACTTGGCTTAATACTCTGCTGTCACCATTTTAAAATTCTCACTAATTTTTGAACAAAGAACCTGTGTTTTCATTTTGCACTGGGCCCCCAAATTCGGTGGCCGGTCCTGGGGAGCTCCCCCGGGGCCCTGACTCTGCTGGCTCCCTGCCAGGCTCGCGGAACCCAGGTGACTCTGACCCTCTGCGGTTCCCGATTTCAGCCCCCACCAACCCCTCGGAGAGCCAGGCCGGTTACCCTGCCCTTGGGGCCTGAGTGGCTGGTGAGGGAGTGGGCAGGGGCGAGGTCCCGTGGCTACTGCCCAGGAGCCAGAGAGGAGATGAGGAGGAGAGGCTGCCGAGGGCTCACAGGCCGGCAAGTCCCTCAGAAAGTGCGGCCCCAGGCACAAGCGAGCCCCCGGGAGGTTCTGCCCAATCACAGGAGCCCCCCGCAGACACTTCGGTGCGACCTCTTCCTCTTTGACGATCTTCCAAGGTAAGTGTTACCCACGTTGTACACGTGGGAAAACCGAAGCCGCTGGCTGGAATGCAGACGCAGTGGCTGGAGCACCAACAGCCATCTTAGACTTGAAGGTGGATATCATGATAAAGACCGCAAAGCCATGAGACAGGGGAAGCCTGGGTCCCTGGTGATCATTACAGCCCTAACGGTCCCCAGTCAGAGTTCAGTAAGCCACAGCTGGGGGGTGCGGGGGGCCCACAGACGTCCCTGCCTGCAAGAAGTCTGAAGCAAGATGCGAGGTGCCCCCCACACACAGCCCAAGCGCAGGCGTGACTCTGGCTCAAGACTCTCTTATCCAAATTTGCCAGTGCATGCTCAGCAAACATTTAGTGAACGGGCGAGGAAGGCCTCTGGGAGGAGGTGCTATTCCTGGCCATCGCGGGAGGCAGAGGCGGAGGAGAGGGAAGGGGGGGTTGTGGGGGGGGGGAAGGGAGGCAGAGAACCGGCCCCTTTCAGGAGGCCACCACCAGCTTGTTGATGCCATCAAAGCCGGGCTTGAGAAAGACGGATTCTGGCTAGCCAGTTACACCTGGTGGATCCGAAGCAAGAAGGCCAGGTAGGTGCTTGTTAAGATCGCACAGGCGGGGGCAGCGGGCGTGGAGCTGCAGGCGGAGAAGGGGCCAGAGGCCTGCTAGAGCGTGTGCCCCGCAGCAGCCCAAGCGGGTCAGGAAGCCATGTTGGTGGCTTATGACCAGTTTTGTTTTCTAAGGGACCAGGATAGAAAAAGAAATAGGAAAGTGAATGTAACAAAAATAAACTTGGCATTGTAAAATCCTAATCTCAGGATATATGTGTGTATCATACGTACGTCCAGATATGGTATTGGGTTGTAAGGTAAAATGGATATACATATGTGTCAAAGGGCACAAAAGTAGTTCTCACCCAGTTTCGAGGTCACAGTCCGGGACGTCTGTGGGGTCTCGCTCCATTTGGAAGGCCCTTTCTCCTGTGGTTTTAAGCACCATTCGGCGCGGGCCTCTCGCAACGGAAGGAGACTGTTCCAGTGGAGGACAGTGAAGATGAAGGCTGCGGGCACGGGGCCAGCGAGCGGCCGGAGGGAGGTGGGGCCCGAGGCGCACCGGGGCGGGGTGCCGCCCCCCAGTGGACACTGTGTGACACCGCCTCTTCCTTTCGGCTCGCTTAGCCGAGGGCTCGGATTTTGCCGAGAATGGAAGTTCTCACCCCAGAGTGGCGCCCATGGCTGAGAGGCCCGCCTCCCTCGGACCCTCATACCAGCGGCCACCGACGCCTCCGGCTGTGTCAGACGGCGCAGCGCACGGGCACCGCGGGGCACTCGCTCCGGCAACATCCGACGGCGGCGTGGCCGGGACAGCGGCGGGAAGGCGCGACGCGCACAGTTCCCTCACGCGTGCCGCGCCCCGTCCTCGGGGTCTGAATCGAGAGGCGACTGTAAGACTGAAACGATGCAGATCTGGGCGTCCCCCGGGAGGGTTGGCTCCCAAGATCCGCGGGAGCCGCCCGTTTCTCCTCTTTCCTCTAGCTTTCCAGCAAATTCCCCCTTTGCTTACTTTTGCCAGAGGTGGTTTTGGGGGTTTGCACCCAGTCTCCAAACCGAGACACCCTCAGGACCCATGAGTTTTGCAGGCAGGTTCGGAAGGGATCCTCAGATCCCGAAGCCCTCCCGGGACCCAGAGCGCCTTGGTTAGAGGGGGCGCGTGGGCCTCCGCGGCCGGAGAGGCGCCGCGGGGTCGCGCTCCACCTCCGCTGGTGCGGCCAGCGCCGACCGCCCTGGTTCCCACAGGACGCCAGACCTCGGTGGACGCGGGGCCTCTGAGTCCCCGCAGGTTTCGTTACTTCCAAGCAATAAACTCCTTTTTTCCTGGCGCCGTTTTGAATTCACCCCGATCCTCTGCCGCCCCCCAGTGGACACTGTGTGACACCGCCTCTTCCTTTCGGCTCGCCTAAGCCGAGGGCTCGGATTTTGCCGAGAATGGAGGTTGTTTTGTTTACTAAATTGCAACGATGTCTAGAAAGACCACGAGAAACAGTGAAAGAGCTGGTTTCCTCTTCCCTCCCTCTGCCTCGCTTCCTCTTCCCCAAATATTCCTTATTTGTTTCTTTGTTTATTTATCTCCCTGCTACATAATAATTACAAAGAAAAAGTAACCTGGCAGACACCATCTAAACCAAGTGATCTGTTATTATCAGCAAAGACACAATTCAACATCGCGAGCCTCCGGATCCTGCGCACCGAGAACACAGCAGTCCTGCGTTATTTCCGCCCAAGACGCATCATCTGAATTTAATCAGGAGGAAACAGCAAACAAATCTGAAATTAACAAGCAGTACTCGTTACCAGTTGTAGTCAAGAAAAAATAAGACGGAGGGATGGATCCCAGCTGAAGGAGACTAGGGAGAAAAGACATCTAAACGTGACAGTAGGGGAGAAAGCATTGGCAATGAATGGATGGAATTTGAATAAGGTTTGGACATTAGTGGATGGTGTTGCATCCGTGTGAATTTCCTGGTTTTGATGATTGCACTGCTTACATAAACTGTTAATATTGGGGCAAGCTGGGTGAAAGCTATATGGAATGTCCTGGTACTATTTTTGCAACTTTTTAGTACATCTGAATTTATTTTAAATTAAAAGGTAAAATATTTTTAAACTACAAATAGAGTAAGGTAAGTATTTCTTCCCAGTTCCATGCCATATTTAACTGCTGCAGAAAATGGGAGGGAAGCCGATGCACCCAGCTGGGGTCAGGGGGCCCGCTCTGTGTCCGCACTGGCCACAGTGTACATCTTGCTGTCAGGAACTTGACCCTGTGGAGTGAGGGAGGGCAGGGAAGGGAAGGGAGCTGAGCAGAAGCAACCAGGATGACTTCCCAGGGCCCAACCTGACTGAGCTCCTTGAGGGAGAGAACTGTGTCTGATTAACCTCTAGATTTCTGACCTCAGTGTGGGGCTGGCTTCCTGCCCGCGACGGGAAGACAAGAACTGAATTACAGCTGGGAAGGCCCCTTTTTCTGTTGTCCATTTTCCATCTCGACTGTGACAGCTCAGTTCTCAGAGCTGAGCCCAGGCTCAGGCGAACCTCGGACTTGTCTCCTGGTGAGCCAAGGAGAAAGCAGGCAGCAGAGGGGCCGATCAGCAGTAAACCATTTGGATCCCTCCATCTCTCACTTCCAATCCTTGTACTAGGAAAAACTCCAAACTCCTCACCATGGCTTACGAGGCCCTGCCCTCTCGTCCCTGACCTCGCCTCCTCACTCTGCCCTGGCCACGCTGGGCTCCTGACTGCTCCTCCAGCTCGCCAACCTGGTTCCTGCCCCAGGACCTTTGCACTCACTGTTGTGTCTAGAATGTTTCTCGTGCAGATCGTCTACTAAAATGTCACCCTGACCGACCAATCTAAAGTATCCCCTGTCACTGTCACAACATGCTGTTTTATTTTCTTCGTAGCACTAGTCACTATCTCAAATTAGTTTGCTTACCTATTGGCAGTCTCCCCACAGAAGAATGCAAAGCCCCAGAAGGCCGTCTCATTTCCTGGGCCCCAACGTGCAAAGCAGGGCCTGATTAGTAGGAGGTCTGCTGGATCTATGTTTACATGTATCCAACTTAGTGGGCCATAACAGCAGCCCCCATGTGATTTCTCTCGTGGCTGGATTTGTGGTCTGTTTCAGCTTCCTTACAGCATGGCGGTGGGACTGCTTGCATGGTAGCTGAAGGCTTTAAGAGCGAGTGTTCCAGCAAGGCAGGTGGAAGTTACATCCTCCGTCCCTGGTATGACCTCGCCTTGTTAGAGTCATTTCTGCTGGACTCCGTCGATGGGCCGGTTAACAAGCTCAACCCTATCCACAGGAAGGGCAGAGACCTCACCTCTTGATGGGAGGACGTTTAAAGAATTGGGGGCCAGATTTTAAAATCACCACAGTAGGTGATCAACACATTTTTTTCAAATAAATATTGACGTTAATTTGTTGGAGGAAACCTGATAAAGAAAGCAAAGGTATGCCCAAGGGGCACCGTGGTGGCAGCCACCAGCACTCTTGATAATTGCGAAACTGGTGGAAATTCAGCTGGCCTGTCGGCTGACAGGTTAGCATCTCTCACACGCCTTGAAAAACCACAGCGTGTTATATTTAGCAAGCGATGACATGTTGCTGGGAGTTTCCCAAAGTGTGGGATAAACGTGGTGTATGAAATGACTTTAGGGGACATGTAGACATGGCATTAAATGACACCAAATCACATGGGTTACACTTAGGCCTTTTTCAGTTCTCTTTCACGCCTCCTCTCATCCAGGAGAAAGTTCGGATGAGTGATAACATGCCTTTAATCCTCCCTAATACTTTGCTAATCTCTCTTTACATCAAAGAAAAGGCAGGCAGGGGCTCAGCGCCTTGGCGCCTTGGCGGATAACAGTATCTACCCAGAATTTTAAAACCTTGTTTTGTTTTTCTCTTTGTTTACAATGATCTATTCATGGCTTTGTGGTTTTCTATTTTTTTGTGTGGTTTTCCATTTTAAATGGGGATACACAGTATCTAGTTAATGTAAATTTCAACCAATACAAAGGCAGAGAAAGAAAAGTATTAAGTCCATCAAAGGTCACGAAATATAAGGGCTACAATGAAACCAACCAGCTAGACATGAGGAAACCTAAGTCTACACACTGAGGGCCACGAGATGGACTTGAGGACCCCCGGGGGCCTCTCCAGCACTGACATTCTAGCTGTTCCTGGAGAATTCCTAACTCAAGGCCTGTGGCCTATACCTCTAGCCTGGTGGCAAAATCCAGAGTAGCGGAACCCAAGTGTCTATTAAATAAAGTTGGGGAAAAATTTTAATATTATTAAATATACCCCACTCCATCAATAAATAAAAGTTCATTTAAGAGTTCCTGAACAGTACACCCCAAGATCTAGAGTGCATAAGAAAACCCTGGGTCGCTCATTAAAATACAGATTCTAACTCAGGATTCTGTATTTCTAACAAGCTTCCAGGTGACATGGATGCTGCTGGTTTGGGGACCACCAAGCAGCAGCAAGCTCTAGGAAAACACCTACTGTGCTGCTGCTGCGGGGTTCTCAAACAGTGATGACACCGGCGTTAGGAAGCAGCATTTATTGATGCCGGCACCGGCTCAGCGGATTCTCATCCAAAGGCTGAGCCTCAATTGTAACATGGCGGGCAATTTTACAGTCTTGTACTTCCGCTCCCCTATACAGCTACAGATATTTCACATAAGGAAGGAGAACATAAGAACATTGATTGGTTGCCAAGCCGGAGAGTCCTGAGGGCGCGGGGGGGGCGGCAGGGGACAATCAGGAACAAACTCGTTGGAGCAGGAAATGGCCAGGCAGGGTCAAGCTGCCACATTCCCCTTTGATGCTCAGACCCAAGACGGGGTCAGAGAGTGTCATCTCCTTCCAATTTTTGGTTTAGAGGCTGCTACCTCCACAGCAAAGAGGGCTTTTGCTGCGTTTTTCTTTCTACTACAGCCTCTAAGAGGGAGGCGGTTGACTGGATAATAAGAGGCAACAGGCACGGTGGGTGCGGGGGGCGGAAGCAGGTCCCAAGGAGGAGGGGTACACCCCAACTAAAGTATTAAAGCCACCGAAAGTGGAGCATCAGCCTCCAAAGAGGTTCTTCCCCAGGATCGGGGGGTCTAGGTTTTGGCCCAAGGCAGCCTTTAGCTGATCATATATTTGTGGGCTCTAGGGCCCAGGAGACCGTGTAGGCTCAGGTGTGGTTGGATTACGCAGCCATTGGACAATTTCTCCGACTGCTGGCCCCTCTGCGTGGTTATGGACATTTCCCCCGCTTGAAGTCCACCGCCAACACGCCCAAGTTTCCCCTAATTTTTCAGGCTCTTGGCAGGATTGGCCGCTCTCGGATCTAACCTTTATGTACCCCATCCAGTACTGGAATCCCCAGTGAGCGCAGAGCGTGGCGTTTAGGGCACAGCCTCCGGGTAGGCCGGTTACGGAAGTGAAGCCGGTGGCAGTGCTGGACCCCACCCTGAACCTTCGCATGCAATGGGTACAAGGGGAAGAGGAAGGGGGCAGACTGGTGCCACACACGTGGCAGAGGAGGAGGAGAAGGAAAAGAGTCTTCAGGGCTGCCATCCTCACGGGACGTCGTCCTCAGGCTTCTGCCATGGAGATTGGTCAGCTTCCGGTGTGACCAAAGCGGGGCCGACGTCTTCCCCTTGGTCTGTAGGCACAGTCGGTGTTTTCTTCCGGAGGGTGGCCTCGAGGGGCCCAGAAGAGTCTGGAACTGACTCTCACTCTGCAGCTGTGGGTTTAGTCTGCTGTGATGGATCCAGGGTGTTATTTCAGCGACCTTAACTGCAGTGGGGGTAGACAAAATGACAGTAAAGGGGCCTCTCCACAGGGGCTTTAGGGGCTGAATGTCCCACGCTTTTACCCAGTCTCCTGGCTTAAAGGATGAACTCAGTGGTTAAACTGACAGGGAGCCTTTCCCTAACCCATTGGTTGAGGTCTGGAAGGTGGTCCCTAGGGCCTGAAGCTGTTATCTCAGAGTCAAGTCGCCTATTTCCTTGAGGTCTCCTCGTAGTCCCTTGATGAGTGGCAGTGGCCGCCCATACAGGACCTCGTAGGAGGAGAACTCAGTCTTCTTGGTTGGGGCCGACCCGCTTCTTAATAGTGCCATGGGGAGGACTTCGTCCCAATGTAGATGTGTCTCCTGACATAGTTTTCTCAACTGAGTCCTAAGGGTCCTATTCATGTGTTCCATTTGTCCTGAACTCTGTGGTCGATAGGCGGTACGCAATTTCTGTTTAATATTTAAATTCTTGGCCAGTAGCTGCACTATTTCTGCTACAAGGGCTGGCCCGTTATCCGAGCCAGTGGTAATCAGTAGGCCAAATCATGGAACAATTTCTCGGAAGAGTAGTCTGGCTGCTTCTCGAGCCTTCTCGGTCCAGGTGGGGTAAGCCTCTACCTGACCGGAATAGGTGCATACAAAGACCAAGAGATCCCAGAGGCCCCGTGATCGAGGCATTTCAGTGAAGTCTACTTGGAGTCCTCAGAAGGGGGTGCCACCGACACTTTGGACCCCCGGTGGGGCACACGGCCCTTGCCTGGGGTTGTTGTGGGCACAGCCTTCGCACCGTTCACACCCCGCTTGGGAGATGCTAGAGAGCTGGGGGACGGAGCAGTACTGGCCCAGAGTGGTTTCTAGCGCAGTGCGACTGAGGTGAGTCCTTTGGTGAAACCTCTTGACAAAAGCTGGGGCAAGGGTCCTGGGAACCACCATTCACCCGTCCCTGAACTTCCACCATCCACTGGGGAGGAGGCCCCCCTCTTCAGTCTTAAACCAGGCTTCTTCTTGAGGCGAGTACTTGGGGTCCCATTTGGCTAAGGGACTAGGAAAGATGGAAGCAGCTAGAGCCGTAGGGCTGGCCATCTCCTCGGCCGCTGCCGGTTTGGCAACATGGTCTGCCCTGCGGTTGCCCCGGGCCGTTATGGTGTCTCCTTTTTGATGTCCTCTGCAGTGCATGACTGCTCCTTTCTTGGGGGCCCACAAAGCATCTACGAGTTCTAGAATTTCCTTTCCGTATTTTATGTCTTTTCCCCCTGAACTGATTACACCCTCCTCATTGTACAGGGCTCCGTGTACACAGTGAGTGGTGAACGCATACTCAGAGTGAGGGTATATGTTAGCACACACTCCTACTGCCAGCTGAAGGGTGTGGGTCAAGGTGACGAGCTCTGCCTTTTGTGCTGAGGTTCCCCTTGGCAGAGGTTTTGCCTCAGTGGTGGAATATAGGGTCAGCACAGCATATCCTGCAAGACATTCTCCTCCCCTCACAAAGCTGGTACCATCGCTATAATATCCTGCAAGACGTTCTCCTCCCCTCACAAAGCTGGTACCATCACTGTACTGTTCTACATCAGGGTCTTTGAGGGGCTGGTCCGTCAAGTCAGGTCGGCTGGAAAACACTTCATCCATGACTTCGATGCAATCGTGGTCTGGCTGGCCGGGCCCAACGGGTAGCAAGGTGGCTGGATTCAAGGTTCGTACTATCTTTAGGCGGAGGCGTGGATTCTCGCACAGCATTCCTTGGTGTCTGACCATCCGGGCTTTAGTTAACCAATATTGTCCCTTGTACTCCAGTAATGTTACTACTGAATGTGGTACTCGAACAGTCAGTTCTTGCCCCATAGTCAGTTTGTTGGCCTCTGACACAAGGAGGGCCATGGCTACGAGTGCTTGCAAGCAGGGTGGCCAGCTCTGGGCGACAGAGTCAAGCTGTTTGGAGAAAAAAGCCACGGGACAGTGCCAAGATCCTAGCAGTTGGGTTAAGACCCCCTACTGTGACGCCCATGCGCTCATGTACGTACAGAGAGATTTGGTTAAGTCTGGGAGTCCTAGTCTGGGGGTGCGAGTACCCGTTTGATTTCTTCAAAGGCCTTCTGGTGTGTAGATTCCCAGAGGAGGGGCTCCCATTCTCCCCCATTTGTGGCTTCATAGAGGGGTTTGGCCAGGATGGAGAAATTAGGTATCCAGATTCTGCAGAAGCCAGCTGCTCCGAGGGATTTGCAGACTTATCAGGTGGTAGGGATGGGAATCGAGCAGACTGTTTTTTTCCTTCCTGGGCCGAGTTGGCGTTGTCCCTGCAACAGGTGGAAGCCGAAGTATTTGACTCTTTCTTGACAGATTTGAGCCTTTCTTTTAGAGACCTTGTAACCTGCTTCCCAGAGGAGACTGAGTAGATGTGTTCCTTCCACGCATTCCTCATAGGTGTTTCCTGCTAAGAGGCGGTCACCCACATATGGAGTATCATACAGCTATGTAGTTCTGCCAGCAAGGCCTTTAAATCCGAGGCTAGAGCGGTCCAAAAGATGTTTGGGGAGTTTTTGGACCCCTCGGGCAGTCATGTCCATGCCAACTGGCCCTTGTCTCCACTTTCAGGGTTTTCTCATTGGAAGGCAAAGATTCGCTGACTCTGAGGAGCCAAGCGGATGCAGAAGAAAGCATCCTTGAGGTCCAGACAGGTGAAATAGACAGCCTCAGCAGGGATGAGGCCTAGGAGGGTATTTAGGTTAGGGACAACAGGGTGCAGGGTGACAGTTGCCTGGTTGACTGCTCGTAAATCTTGGACCGGCCAGTATTCATCGGTCCCTAGCTTCTGAACCAACAGGAGAGGCGTATTCCAGGACAACTGGCAGGGACAGAGAATTCCATACTTCAGAAGTCTCTCTAAATGCTTTTGGACACCACTTGTGCCTTATGGGGGATGAAATACTGTTTCTGGCGGGCTGACTCAACTCCTGGTTTTAACGCCACCACCACTGGAGGACTATGTTGGGCCGGTCCTGGAGGGCTGTCTTCAGCCCACACTCCGGGTGCTTTGAAGGGGAGCTCGGGTTCCTGTTGGGACCCTCTTATGAGACTATACAGGTGCCACTCTTCTCAGGGAACCGTGAGCGACCTGATCCTTGCTTCTGGCCTCCCCAGGGTTAGGGCTGCTTGGCCACGTGAGTCAAAGGTAATCCGAGCCTGGAGTTTTCCTAAAAGTTCTCGTCCCATCAGTGCCACGGGCAGTCGGCAGATATAGGAACTCATGGAGGACTTCTTGTCCTCCTAGGTTGCACCAGCGGGGCTGCAAGGAGAAGGACTCATCCCCCAGTGGCTCCCATAATGGTAGCTTGTCTTTGAGAAAGGGGGCCCATGGGCCAAGTTACACTGAGTGTTCAGCTCCGGCGTCAACCATAAAGTCAAGAAGTCGGCCCCCGACTCTCATTTGGACCATAGGCTCCTTGGGGCCTAGCAGAATGGAGCCCGGTCCGGTCTAGTCATCTCTGAACGCTTCCAGGGTGGCAAGGCCAACATTACTAGAAGAATCTGGTGATGCGCAAGTCGGCTAATAGCGCCCTTGTACGACTTGGCCATGTCTTCGGGGGCCAGGAGCCACTGATGGCCCACCCGGTTGTTGGGGACATTCGTTTTTCCAGTGGCCTCGCTGGTGGCAGTATGCACATTGGTCTTTTCCCAGTCTCATTTTCATGGCTGACTTCTCCACTGGTTTTGTCCCCAACCTCATGGGGCACTTCTTCTAGGGGGCCTGGACGGCTCTACCAGTGCAGCAGCAAGTGGATCGACTTTCTTCTTCATCTTTCGGTCAGCCTCTCAGCGAGCCTCTTGGTCTCAATGAACGAAGACCTTAGTCATGACTTCAAGGAGTTGGCTGACGTTCATGCCAGACAAGCCTTCCAGTTTTTGCAGTTTGCGCCAAATGTCTCCTTGGGCCTGCCCGACAAATGCCACATTGACCATCCTCCGGTTTTCCGTGGCTTCTGGGTCAAAGTGGGTGTAGAGGCAGAATGCCTCACAAAGCCTCTCAAAGAACTGGCTTGGTCTCTCTTCTGGTCCCTGGAGGACCTCTGAAGTCTTGCTCTTATCCATGGCCGTCTTCCCATCTTCCTTCAGACCACCTATGAGAGCCTCCTGGTATCATTCTAGCATCTGAAGTCCCCTGTCATCACTGGGTTCCCACTGGGGGTCCCCCGCAGGAAACTGATTCTGGGTACAGGTTTGCACGTTCAAGGTTCCTTCCAGGGCATGTTTCTCTAGTTATTTCGAGGCAGCCTGGGAGACGTGCAGGTGCTCTTCAGTATTAAAGAGGGTCAGGAAGAGTCATTGGCATCAGCCAAGTGGGTTTGTGAGTCTGGATGATCGATTGGAGGAGGTCAATCGTGCCCTGAGTCTTCTCAGTGAAAGAGAGGGGATGATTCCTCTACTTCAAGAGATCAGTAGTGGGGAAGGGTTGATAGATGAAGGTGCGCCAGCCTCCCTGAATCTGACCGTCCTGATCGTAATAGATGGGGCCTCAGGTTTGCCGCAAGGGCAACAGAAGTGCTTCCCCCCTGACTGGAGACACCTTGGGCCGGACTCCAACAGGGCTGTAGGGGGTCAAGGCAAGAGGTGGTGGCAAGTCGATGGAGACTGGCGTGGATGGGGTCTCAAGAGAAGTCGAAAGGTCCAGGGTGGACGGCTCAGAAGGAGAAGTCGGCTGTTTGGGAGCCTTCAGAAGGGGCGGATAAATGTGTGCATAAGGCAGTGGGACCCCTTCTGCATCTTCTCGATTTGCTGACAACACGGGCTTCTTTTTCTTCAACTGACCTCAGGAGGGTGCTAAGGCTCGGGCTAGGAGGACCCTACAGTTCTCCTCTAGGTGACTCTCAACCAAGGGGGTCGGGTGTGAACTATCGCCTCCCAAGAACTGATATAAGGGAATTGGTCTGGGTGGCCAGGTTGACTGGTAATGACTTGAGAAACCTTTGCAATGATTTCCCTATTGAGAAACCCTTCTGCTGGCCACCCAACACCAAAGGAGGGCCAGTCGATCTCACAAAAGGTGCGGAGTTTCTGTGGAGTGAGTTTGACTCCATAATCTCCCGAAGAACCCTTTTTGAAATTCTTAAGCAAACACCTAAAAGGGTCTGTTTTTTCCCCCCCGTCGATGTCACACACGCACTCAGACATTCACTTTGCTGGTCTCCGGCCGCTCCCCTCACGGGGACCTTTCAGGCGCCTCTTAGCAATCGGTGGGTCAGTATAAACCCCTGACTCGGATCACTGGAGTAGACTCCTCACGGAGATCCAGTGACACCACCCTAAGCCATATGAGGTTCGCCACAGACATGCATATAGGGGCTCAACTCTCGCTTCATAGCAAGGCCACATTTCAGTCACACGCAAGCGCCCACAGACATGCATATAGGGGCTCAACTCTCGCTTCGTAGCAAGGCCACATTTCAGTCACACGCAAGCACACACCAAACACACTCCACCCTCCTCCCTATACACCTGAGAGGTCGCGGTTTCCTCTAACAGATGTTGATCACGCTCCACTTCTGTACTCTAATGAACAGGCTGTTCCTGGGACCCGGGTCCTTACCACTCAGTCGGGCGGTGCTCCTGGGCTGGTTCCTGCGCCTCTCCGGATTCCGTTGTGTTCTTGGGGCCACCACTCCAGTCCGCTGGAAGAATCGTCTTCTCCTACGGACAACAGGTCTGCTGATGTGCCAGGTGAAGTCTGCTTTTCCCAGTGTTCTGGGGTCCAGACCCCGAAGATGAGGGAGGCGAAAAACCGCAGTCTCCGGATCCTGGACGAACCCCCAGAAATGTTGCAGGATTCTCAAACAGAGAGATGGGTTACTGAGGCTATAAGCAGGAAGAGCATTTATTGATGCCGGCACCGGCTCAGCAGATTGTCATCCAAAGGCTGAGCCCCGATTGTAACATAACAAGCAGTTTTATACAGTCTCGTACTTTCACGTGCCTACACAGCTACAGATATTTCAATATAAAGAAGGAGAACTTAAGGAGACCATCGATGGGTTGCCAACCCGGAGAGTCCTGGAGGCGAGGGAGCAATCAGGAATTAACTTGTTAGAGCAGGGGATGGTCAGGCAGGGTCAGGCTGCCACACTACTACGCATCTCTTCCCAACTCTGAGCTGAGTGACTTTCACGTTACAAGCTTGAAATCAGCCGTGAACTATTTCTACCAGGAAAATCGGCATTACAAGCCATGGTTCAATTTATCGTTTTATTGTCTTCTAGATTTAAGAAAGTGATAGGAAAATATCAGTAATAATAATTTACAATAAACTTTACACATATAAACACATAGATACACATGCCCACCTGCACACACATTCTACCCCAGAGAAGCAGTTGTCAGACATTTACCACACCCCATTGGTCGCACGGCTCTGTATGGGACAACACTGTAGATACATGTGTCCTGGATTAGAGGTTGGCAAACTTCTATAAAGACCCCAACAGTAAATATTTTAAGTGCTGTTGGCCAGACAGTGTCTGTTAAAAGGACCGAGCTCTGCTGCAGCAGCTGGAAAGCAGCCATAGACAACATGTAAATGTGTTAAGTGTAGCTTTTCTAACAAAACTTGATTTATAGATGTTGCAATTGAAATTTCATATAACTTTAACATGTCATGAGATATTAATCTCCTTTTTTTCCAACAATTAAAAATGCGAAACCATTCTTGGCTCGCCAGCCAGATGTGGCCCACAAGCTATTGGACCTCCTCATTTAGATCTCTGGAGGAGGAGGCATGGAACTAGGACTCAGACCTAGAGAAGACACAGGACACAAAGTCCCAAGCAGAGAAATCAACCAATTCAAAAGTCCTGAGCTGAAAAGAGTCTGGAAACCGTGCTCCAAGGATGAAAAGACCAGGTGGCTGAACTGCGGGCTGTAGAAGCCCAAATAAGAGGTTTAGAATTCGTTCCAGTTCAGCGGAAAGCCCCTTGGAAGTGTTAAGGAAAGATGTACCTGCGATCTAATTTATATTTTTAAAAGAGTCCTCTGCGTGCTGCTGTGTGCGGAACAGAGCCTGGAGCTTTGGAAGAACGAAAGGAAGGAAAGCAGAGAGGAGGCCGTCCAGTCTTCCCAGAGAAAACGAAGATGGTCTGGCATAGGGTGGTGACCGCCCAACTGGTGAGAAAGGGTGGATCTGTGCTGGATTTTGGAGACAGGCAGAGCCCTCAAGGTGAGCAGGTGAGCTGAGAAGGAGTCCAGGGTGTCCACATTCTCACATCGGCCTGTGGCCTTGATCAGCCCATTTTACAGATGAAACTCAAGGTCCAGCTCCATGCCAGGCGCTGTTCCCTTCAGATCATCAGGGTCTGGCCATCCTGGAACTCTCATTCTGGTGGCTCAGGGAGATCAAGTTCCTTGCGCTGGGTCCCCCAGCCAACAACCTTGCCCCTCTTCCACTGATACACACCCCTTCGGCCAATGATGTTTAACCTCTGACCTCTGCTTCCTCCCAACCACCCCTACTTCCCCCTGTGGCCTCAAGAAAGTGTCTGCCCAATGTACTTGTCCCTTAGAAGGGGAAACTGAAGCCTGAGGTGACAGGTCACCAAACCCCTCCAGCAGTCCTCCCCCTCTGGCCTTGAGCCTGCACGTGTGGAAAGCCCCCCTTTGCCAAGACCCAGGGATTTACCTAGAGGAAGGCCTCGATCGCAGCGCCCTGATGGCTCACTCTCCCACCACCGGTATCCCCCGGAAAACTAGCAGAAAGCACGAGCGTCGACCCGCAGCGCCCGCCGAGGTGCCTCACATAAATTTGGTTCTGTGAAACCCGCGAGGCGCACAACGACCACTGCGCATGCGCCCTGCCCTGTCCACGCCCCCCTAGATCGGCGGGAAAAAAAAGAGGTGGGAGCGGTTAGTGCGCAGGCGCGTGCTCTGAGCTTGGCCGGGCGGGGACGGCGATCTGGAGCGCGACTCCGCACCGGGCTCAGCGCGCAGGCGCGAGCTGTCCGCCTCGCTCTGAGTCGGCTTGGGAAGTGCGCACGCGCAGGTTTCTGGCCGAAAGCAGGCGAGCCTGGGCCGGCGCGGGGCCTTGTGGGAGGGCTTAAGGAAGTAAAATGGCGGACCTGGCGAACGAAGGTAGGGGAGGCGCTGTCGGGGGCCGGCTGGCGGCCAGGGAATGGGCGGTGGGAGGTCCAGGGGCCGGAGGACGGAGGGGTGAGTACCCGGGGGTGCTGAGGGCCCCTTTGCTACGTGATAGAGGCTCAGCGGGCCCCGCAGACGCCCCCTATTGCGTCCCCTCAGGCCCGACTCACCGGCCCGGCCCATCACTCGCTGCAGCCCCGACCCTGTCGCGGTCTGGCCGGAGGGCCGGGGAGGCCGCTGGAGCCGCGGCCCCGAGACCCTTCCGCCTGGCGGACCGGTCCTGGGGCTGAAGCGGGTGGGAGGCGCGGCCCCGGTGCGTCGGCCTCGGGTGTAAATAGACCTGTGGGCCTGATGGTGGGCCCAGCGCGCCACGCTCCCTCCCTGCCCCCTCGGGGACCCGGGTTTCCCCTCCTGCCCGGCCTGGCTGCCAGGCCAGCCCACTCTCTAGTCCTGTGGGGTTCTCCTCTTCCGCAGCCCTGCCCCACTCCGGGGACGGAGGACGCCGGATCTGTTTTCATCCCCACCCCAAACTCGGCCCCCAGTTCCCGCCAGTTCCCCTGGATCCTTCGTGGTAGCCCGAGAGTCGCGCCTCGTCTCCCCCGCATTCAGGCTCGGCCTCGGGATGCGGGCCGCTGAAAGCCCTGGCTTCTCTTTGGCCCTTTTTTCCTGCACTCACATAGAGAGACAGTCTGTCTGCCTCCCTCCTCTGTGGAGCGCTGACATCCCGCCTGAGCGTTTTCGACAAGGTTACAGTTACAAATCCCCCAGAGAAAGCGCTCCATAAGCCGATGTCTGCTTAAATGAACAGTGGTGTTATCGCTGTAGCTTCCGGACCTCCGAGGCCTATTTTTAGCTCCCTCCGTTTCTAGGTGCACAACTGCAGGCGCCCTACCTCCCTGCCTCGCCCCGACTCGCTGTACCATGCTCCGTGCTGTGGAACAGTCAGTGGCCTGAGGTTTACATACTGAACGGCACGATGCACTAATGATAAGTGCTCACCCTGATGGAGCATTTGGGATGGTACCAAGTACTGGTCAAAATCTTGATCACCGTATATTATCTTGGGTAATAAATACTCCTCACAAAAGCTCCTTAAAACAGGTAGTGTAGCCCCCTGTTCTTGGAGAGGAAACTGAGTTAGAGCGATTAAGTGACTTGTCCAAGGCAGGTCATACGGCTAGTAAGGAGCAAGAATGTGAATCAACTAGGTCTGGCTTCAGA